TAATGAATAACACGGCGATTAAATCTGAAAAAAAAAAAAAAAAAAAATCGTAAAGTTATAACAATAATGCTGTAAATAAATGACAAGGCTAAATCAATTTCACACGTACGCCGACAGTAAATGTAGATGCATTATCAGGCAGTCTCATTCTAGAGATAAACTGAATTTTTCAAAGACGGCTATTTTCCAACCATCCTTTGAATCGTCCGTGTGAATATTGATAAAAATCTTCATGCTTTGTTTTAGTTTTAAAAAATGTTCAGTATATTAAAAGTATTGAGGCTGAAACAGCCAATATGATATTATTGTCAACAACTGGAAGCATACATAATAAATGTACCCGTAACCACCAATAAAGCAGTTTCAGTGAATAAACTATTATACAATACATGTAGTGAGCAGGTATTGTGTAAAGTTTACCTAAGTAACAATTCATAAATTTGTCTCTTGTAGATTAGATGAGTATTTAGACCAAACAATATGGCCACACAAACTTAGATGAAAATTCAAATGAGGAAATTAATTTTTTAAAACGTACTGATTAGAGTCTGAAGTATGATACATCTGCACAACAATTACTTTTTATTTTTTCTTGTCTTACATTGTTTGAATACAAACATACAGGTTTTTTGTTTTTCTACCTCTTTGTAAATGTTTTTTCTAAAACTTCCTTTTCACCGAAAAAAATGATGGTCTTTTTAAAGTTTCAATGTTTATTGTTATAAAAGGTAAATGTTCCTGTGCGCGCATTGCCATTCACATTGCGTCTTTTTGTAGGTACAGTTTTAGAACAAGGTATTTTGATATTTTATATACATATAGAAGGAACTAATTAAATACTCAAATATGTTTTGTGTTGGAAAATTGAAAATTATTATTATCTAGATTTCAAAAAATGCGAGACAAATGAATGTAAGGAAAAATCATTTATCTATCAGAAAAGTATAACATATTTAAAGAGCATATAAAGAAACGTTGATATTATTGCATTTTTAGATATAACTCCTTTATTAACAACATTATAGTAAGTTGAAATATCAAAAACAATTTACAGACTTCACTTTTGTAAGTTTCTTTTTGTAATTATCGAATGTGAGTTATATGTGATGCATAAAGGTTTTTTTTAATAAAACATAAAATCAAACATTTTAATTTATACCAAGGTTTCACCAAAAATGCTTGCGATAGCAATATGGACAATGTTGCTAGGCGTATCTCTGGCGTATGGGGCGTATGATTGCGGTGATGCCCCGGACACCGATGGTTGCAGCGCGTGGTCTATTGTTCCTTACAAAAGCAGATTCAGATCTTCCTGTGATAAGCATGATGTTTGCTACTCATGTGTAAGTTTTTGTTTCCCTTTTTTTATCAGAACTGTACATTTTCTTTCTCTGTTTGTCTTTATGATGTATTTTAGGAGGCAATATAATATTTATATATTCACAGTGTAAAAAATCAAATTTTTAATGTTTCTAATAAAAAATATTAATGTTATCATTTACATATTACATATAATTCACATTTAAACATTTACAAGTTATAGTAGCAAGCATAACCGGTTCCTAATACCAATTTAACTTGATTTTAAAACAAGTAAAGAGAAAATGAAATAGATATAGGATATTCAAGTGTTTATTTCCTATAAAAACAAGATTTATTTTCATCGAGTGGTATGAAAATAATTATTTTATGCGTGGTGATAATTTTCATATCACAGGATAAGAATAAACCTATATCTATAGCAAAATAAAAATTGAATTTTCTGTATGTTATTTACATGTTTCTTTTTTTTGAAATAACATTTTGGAAGATTTTCCCTTATATTTTGTGTATACAGGCTGAATTTAGAAGAAATTGGTCAGACTAAACAACAGTGAAAATACGGAAAATATGTTTCACTGCAGTGAAAAATAAATTTTTACAGTGAAAATACGGAAAATGAAATACGTATTTTATTTCATCAGTATTTCTCAATATTTCATTTTTAAGTATACAATAAAAAGAGATACATACTTCCAAACACCTATTTATTTGTTTTAAATGCGGAGTGCGTTAAAGCAGTCTATAGATAGTTCGTTTTAGTTTATACAAATGACTATCACATTACATTGTATTCAGTTTTCTCATATAAAAATGCAATTGAACGTTGCAAAACAAAGAAACACAAAGTCTAAAGCGTCACGCTTCAAGATGAGTGAAAAGTAAAAACATTACAAACAAAAGTTTAAAAAATGTATCACTTACTATTCGCGTCCAGATGATACATTTTTAAGATATGCATAATTAACACCAAAATTTCTACGCAGTCCCTAAAAGAGTAAGATGATTTTCTTTATATTTTGACAAGCTTTATGTAACTTATGTGGCTCGTTTACAAGCGCCTAAAACTATATTAGGGAGGATAAATTAAATTACACATGCCATAATTTAACAAATCTAGAATCATGCTACCAGAACTTCCAGAAGTATAAAACATATTTAAACAACTCGTTTATTAACATTTAGTAAATTTTAAGCATTCGTATCTTATTTTACAGGGGAGGACATTCGGCGTAACAAGAAGTCAATGTGACAAGGAATTCAAGAGTGACATGTACGCAGCATGTAGAGGTGGTTGGTGGTGCAAAAAAGTTGCTTATCTTTATTACAAAGCTGTAGACTGGCATGGTTATAAATATTACGTCCAAACCAAACCTGCCTGGTGTAAGGCGCAAACATGGTACAGAACTGAATGCATGCCATAAACAAACATTTCTTAAACATTTGGTTGAAGGATTTGCAAGAAATTAAATAAAATATTTTGTAACTTATTTCTTATTCGAAAAATGTCAGATAATTGCACTGATTAACTATTTTTTAGTTGTTAAACTATTTTATTCTCATTTAGTATGAAGGAAAATATATGGAAATAAAATTAACATAACAAAATAGTTATGTGTGTATTTTGGTGCATTGACCTTTTAAAGTAATTTGGGAAGTTTCTAGATTTCATATGATATACAAAATTAATGTACTACACATACAACGGTTGTCCCTTTTACATTGTTTCAGTCGCGGTTGTGATATACCTATATATTGTTCTGAAAAGTTTGAAAACATGTTGTTATGGTAACATACAAGTAAAAAATCAACAGTTTTAAACAATTACAAAAACAAATATAATATTTAAATAGGCCCTTCTCTCAGAAGTTCTCATTTATCGTTTGTCAAAATACATATATCCACTAAGACTATAATAAGATTTCGATATTATGATGTCGTATGTTTTTTAATTAATTGGCCCGATGTAAGTTGAAATCAAAATTTAATCATCTTTAAAGAAACCCGTTATATGATATGTGACTAACCGTAGTACGCCTTGAATTTCAAGTATGCTTATTTTCTTTAAAACAAATTCAGATTAAAGTAGTTTATATGAAGACCTTATATGACACGAGACCAGCTTGGCTTATTTATCTATCAGGAAGCAAAAGCAGATATTCACAATACATAAGTATATACAGCCAATCAAATTAAAGTACCAAAAAATATATCTAACCTAACTTATAAAAATGCTGCTAATTCCTAATACCAGTAGTACTTTCTTCTAAGTGAAAATAAAAACGCGTAAGATGGTGTCATTTGTCATCAATAACAGTGGTAACTCTCGTTTCAATAGTTTCAATAATACATTAAAAACTCTAGTTTGTTTGCAATATTTAAGGCACACTATGTCTAGGAAATCAATATTTTGTATTATTACACTCACTTTTTTCGTAATGCTAATTTCCCATAGGCCTCTGGGAGTTATTCTTACTGTTAATAATGTAAGTGTACCACGTGACTACGAATTTTGTACTGTTACATAGGTAACAGTATTTTTAACAGTATAAAATCTGGTCACGTGGTCTATTTTCTAAATAAAATGAAATAAAATGGCCGCCATTTTTCTCTCGATTCATTCTTATTTTTGACGATAGGGCATCGCCGAAGTAACTATTACTCTGATAAAATTTAGTTCTTTGCAACCTAGAGTCCCTTTCGCGTATTAAATATCTTTTTGTTGAATAGTCAACAGGAAGCATCCGTTTTCAACGGAAGTAATTGTAATGTAAATAATTTTGTGTCAAACTGGAACATGCAGACAATAAAAGCATGCAACAAAGGATAATTTAACAATTTTAACCAGTGAAACGTTACAGATAGAGTTTGTGGACATACATCTGTAAGATATCATCGTTATTTTCTAAATGCACTTTGTCAAAAACCATGCGAAGAATATTCTGGATGTAGAAGGATCAGATTTCACAGATCATAACCTTATAAATGGGTTAGTGTTTTGCTTTCTGAATAAAACACAGCTTATTTTACGTTTATGACTGGTAGATATCATCACTTGCTTAAAGAATAAAAGAAAAACCGCTTCTCAAGTAGGCCTACAGTGCACTTAAAACTTGCAAGGTAAGGACAGTTTAGTTATTGCTTCTCTTGGCTTATTTTTGTTACAGTTAGATTTAGTTGCCAAATTCAGATCATCACAGTATTTGTTCGGGCTACGCCTCGGGTAACAGTATTTTCCTCGGGATGATATTTTTACTGTTACCCACAAACCCATGTGTTATTTATATATTCTTTAGAATGGACAAACACGTATTTAATAATGTTTTTACAATGCATTCATTCATGATTGCATGCTAGATGTGAAACAATTGAAGAAAGAAGCGTTGAACTTGCAGTAGCTAATTGCATAATGACTTCCATGGAAAATACTAAATCATTATCATTAGATCAGTTGTGTAAGAGAAAAAGAAGCAAAATATTGTTCATATATTTGGTCAATAAGTTACATTTTGGAAAGTGAAACAAATTCCCAAAACTTAAAAGATTTTGAGAAGTAAAAATGGTCGCTTTTCGAAGGCTTATTGAGTCATCTTCAAATCTTTAAATGGCTTTTATTTTAGCTCAGGCTGTTCACTATTTCTATTTGTTCACAGTATTGAAAATCTCAATATAATCCCGATGTCAAAACTTTAAGCTGTCCACAATAAAACCATGGCAACAACTTAAACAGTTCACATAATTAAAAAGATATTTCAAGCTATTTTCAATATCGAAACCTCAGGCCATCACAATATATAATCCTCAGACTGTTTCTAATATTAAAACTTCAATTTGTTTCCAATATTAAAACCCCGAGCTGTTTCTAATATCTAAACCTCAAACTGTTCCCAATCTGTAAACTTAAGGCAGTTCAAAATATTAAAACATCACGTTGTTCACAATATCAAAAGCCCATGCTATTGCCAATATTGAAGCCCCAAGCCATTTCTATTGTTGATCTTAACTTATTGAAACCTTAATTTTCCTCCAATATCAAAGTCCCAAGCACTTGCTATTGTTGATATCTAAAGAAATTTCCACAAGCTCTTCCGAACATTGGAACCCTAAGCTATTCCCAATATTAATATTAAAACTAATTAAGAGCTGTACAATACTTAATAATACATCACAGGGATCCGAGATTGTGTACTATGAAGGATTACGTCAACATGTGAATCATGCTTTGTAACAGGAACCAATGTAGTTACTATATTGCACATCCTGAAATAAATATCTTTGATATAATATTTTAAACTCCTCAAACTAATGAAATTACGGTATAACGCTTTCTTATTAGTAACCCGTAGGACCTAAACATCATTTTTTTTTGTGTTGAAAAACGTTTTCAAGTACAAAATATTTTTCAAGAATTCCATTATATTTTGTATCAATTTAAATAAGTCGATACATAAAATAAATAAATAATAGTAAAATAATAAAAAGTGAATATTTGAGATCGCACAGAAAAAATATACAAAAGTGAAACAGTCAGGTTTGAGGCAGTAGACAATGCAAGCTAACGCTCAGATCCCATTAACGTTCTAAATTCAACATTACAGCAAAATACGATTTAAAAAAATGCTAAGCTTCCATGACATACATACATTTTATTTAAATTCGTATTTAAAAACCTAGGTATTTCATCAAATGAAACAACTGAAAATATTCAGACGTAATGATGTATCAACTTGCAGTATATCCTTTACAAAATACCGGTATATGTCATAAATGTATACTTTCCAAATATGAACAATAAAGGGGAATTTGGAAAAACCACAAATTTATGTTAGAACTAATTAAATGAATTAATGTAAACGTAAGATAATCATATACATGTTTCAGAATCACATTTTTATTTTATGTTAATTTAACTTAATGTATGAATATAATGTTAAAGACAACGAACAGATGAGGAGACATGTTGATATTTCACCTTATTTTGAATGATTTCTACAATTAAGAATTAAGAAAAACAGCTGCAGATGTGTCCATAAGCACGTTATATATTTTGGCACCTCTATACGACATCCATTATCTTTTCATTATATTATAATACTTATAAAGCATGTTTATTGGTTAAATAATGTGTAAAAGAAAATGTGTTTGAATGTTATTTAATATCAAAAAGAAGCGTTTGTCAAAACAATCAAATTATGTTTGTTACAGGACTAAATCATAATTGGAAAATGGAATAATTGTTATTGTTTTTTGCATGATGTTGTTTCGTATGTGTGTTTCAATTGTTCAGAAGTAAGATAGGTTATTTGTTATCTTCATGTTTTGTCTTCTTTTAATAAAGATATTATTATAATCACCATCATCATCATCATCATCATCATCATCATCAAAAGCGCACTTTGTTTCCGACAATAAGAGCTGACAACAAGTTTGTGAAAATAGTTTGTCAAATAACTAAAAACCGGAAAAATCATAGTTTTCTTTGTGAAATAATGTATATACTAGTGAACGATTTTGATTTGCATTGTTTCATCAAATGTTTTCATTAAAAATTATCAACAGTAGTTCAGTATAAAATAAGATCAACTGTTCTCGTTTATTAATACATCAAACTTGTTATAAAAGTTAATAGTTAGTGCTTGTAATGTGAACTAAAAACGTGTGATATTTCAGTGGATTTATGTTTTTAAGTGCAGAAAGCCAAAATGGACACATCAAGGCGTAATATAAATATTTTATCCGTACTCTATATCTGACTACTGACATTATGCTATTAAATTACTAAATGTTAAGCTTAACTGCAGTTCAACATAAGTAGTTTACTTCTGTTTAAAACATTGTCAATAAAGTCATTTCATCGTTTTGTTTACAGCCTTTTGCGAATCACAGTCGTGTAAATTATCATGGGTGTGAAATAGTAACTATTACTTAAACTTCCTACTTTAAAAGGATTTGAAATTTAAAAAAAAAAAAAAACAGAAAAAAACCGAGACCTATCTGAGTCTAGCAAAATAAGGCATTCATTACATACTGTTTTTGATAATCATACACTTAAACGTGACAATCGAAAATTTATCATTAATGAGCCGTGTCATGACAAAACCAACATAATGGGTTTGCGCACAGCATGGATCCAGACCAGCCTGCGCATCCGTACAGTCTGATCAGGATCCATGCTGTTCGCTATTAGTTTCTCTACTTGTTATATGGTCTGTAAGCGAACAACATGGATCCTGATCAGACTGCGCGGATGCGCAGGCTGGTCACGATCCATGCTGGTCGCAAACCCATTATGTTGGTTTTGTCATGACACGGCTCATTTATATATGAACACATCTATAAAATTGGACTTCTGGTATATAGAACAAGAGATTTAGTGTTCTGCAAGAGCGAACAATTAAGATCAGGCCTCCAAAAATGTGTGGTATTTTTCTTTGTAGTATTTTAAAAGTTTAGAAGAATTTTGAAA